CTTTTGTTTACATTTCAGCTGATAAGAAGTCTTTGAAGGTTTGACACTAGAGGGCACCAGATGGCTACCATAAAAGAAATGTATGATGTTTGGGTCCAAGAGATTTATGAGCTATTTAACTCTTTAATGGAATCAAAATGTGTTATTGAAGAGGAACAAGCCTCATAGAATAAGATTGAAATGGACTTTAAGGTGGAATTAAAAATTATAACTCACAAGAAAGAGATGGAAATATTGGATTTACAAATGGAATAGGATGATGACTTAAAAAATTTAAAAAATATATACAAATAATAACTCAAAACAGTGATGAGGATTATTTTTTTTTATTGGAATATAAGGATTTACTGGAGTTACTATACTGGAATTACAAAAGGACTTTGATGAAGATGACAAGAATTTCGAGAGAAGAGACAAAGAGAGTGTCTGAAAGCAGATGTTAATTTTATTTGTGGGACTTAAAGATTGCTGGGAGAAAGAAGAAAAAATACAAAATTGGTTTATTTGATCATGGTTAAAATAATGGGTTGCTATTTCTGTTGATGTCTAATTTTTTTTTTTTACTGGGATTGGATGATGATAGTTATTGTTGGTAATGTTTAATTGGGTGTAACAGATTAATTTGTAATGCTTATATTGTTATTTTTGATATATAAATAATGGGTTATTACTTCTGGTGATGTTTAATAGTTTTTTTAATTGGGACTGAACGATGATGGGTTATTTTTAGTAATGTTTATTTACTTATTTTTTTTAATTGGGATTGGACTTTGATTTTTTGAAGAGAGGGATTAGGGGGAATTTGTTTAAAGGGATATGGAGATATAAATGTTTGTTATTTCTGATAACCCTTAATGGACTTTTGCTGATTAATAAGGAGAGTTGAACATTTAGAGATGGATTTATAGAAAATGGGATGAGATATGGAATGAAGAAGTATTTGGTTGTTTTTTAAGAGACAGTGATAAGCTGTTAATGTTGACTATACTTGCTGGGGTTGAAGGGGGAAGTTTCTTCTATTTTTTTCAACATATATGTTATTTGTGAATCTTATTTGTTGATCTCTTGGTAGCCCCTATCCATTTCAAAGCTGCTGACCTGGAACATATATATATAATCCATACATATAATCTGAATCCACAGAAAAGGCAGTTATAGTGGTTGGGCAGAGCTTTGAAGAATGCTTCATTTTTATGAAGGTTTGATCAAAAACCCCTTTTAAAGGGTCCTGACAAAACAAAGTGGTCTCCCCCATCAATAGATTGGAGCAACTGTACCACTTTGCCTGACAAGTGTTTCCATGCATGCACAGCAGAACATAGCCACTTTGCATGGCTTTAGCAAATGTGTCCCCTGTTCCTGTCCATGGTCCTGAAATAAACTGCCAAGTATCTTCCCAACTCGAACTACTTTCTTTGTGGTCTCATTCACCAGTTGTGTTATTTCTATTATACTCTTTTTCATCAATCATCCACTGTTGCTAAACAGAGAATCCGATTGGTGGCTTTTTAAATAGTAAGATTATTGTTGTTTGCACAGTCAGCCAGATGTTTAAACTGGATTTGGCATTTTATCCACCTATCGAGTCCTTCCCAAGGACAAGGGATAGACAGATGTTGTTGCCTGATAGTGTTAAAGGTATCATAGCAGGATGGAAGCTGTTCCAAGTAAAGCTGCCTTTTGCAATTGACTGATGGTGATTTTGCC